GATCAATTAACTGACATTTGAATTCTTGTATATATACTGCAGTTGGTCAAAATGGATTGTGTTTTCTGTTTTGAAAGAGATGTGGGATTGTATGCCTTTAAGGGTTAAGCTGTCACTTATCTTCCATCCAGGATATCACTGTTATACATAGCTAGAGATGGGCAAGGTTTGAGAGGGAGCTGAAAAGAGAGAGTCTCATGGCTACCTGAGTGCTGTTGGCCATGAATAAAGAAACCCTTGTTAAAATGGCTCCTGACTCAGTGAATTGAACCCATAACATGACAGGGCTTACTTTCCAGAGTACACCACATATGGCTCTGTGGAACAGAAGATTAACTCTAACAATGTACTACAATACCTTCATATTTCCAAAGGGAGCCTCCAGGCCACTGAAGAGAGCAGAGAATTGGACAAATGGCTAGAGACTTTGATATGAATTGTATTCTGAGGCAGCTAGACCTCAAGGAGCAAGTGCCCCAGGAAGTCATTCCCTATTGGCAAGTTAGGTATCAGATATGTGCACAAGATGGGATCCTGTTTAAAGGCCACAGAGCTGTAATCCCTAACAATCTGAGACAGGATATAATGAATAAAATACGTGCTTTGCACCTGAGAATACAAGCCTGAGAATACATGCCTCTGGAGCATGTTTACTAGCCAGACATGAATTCCCATATGAGGACATACGTTGAGCAGTGTGAGATATTCAAAGAGCGAAGGAGGTGCTGCAGCCTCATGAGATCCCAATATGACCTTGAAAAGAGGTTGGGAGAGACCTGTTGAAGTTCAGTGGTAGAAACTATATGGTCACTGTGAAGAAACAGGCAATAAATAAAACACTCACCACAGGGAAGGAGTCCGAAGAGGGGAGGGACACAAGAACAGGAGGAGAGTGGCGCTTCCAGAGCAGCTACTCCATAAAGATGCAACAATCCTGAGAGGGGAGGAGCCGGGCATGGGAGAAACTGTCACAGCGTGGGGCCTAGGAGCGGCTGTGATCCTGCTAGCGCCCCCTACAGTGCCAAGTGGGCAATCCAGCACCCTCTATTCTCGTCCGCCACGTCTTGTTGGAATAATAGTTTGATATGGGAGGCTGCCTTTCGATCCCCTTTGACAGTGCTCTGCTCATACCGCCCCCCCATACCAGATGGGGTGACTTGGTGCAACCCCCAGCCTTATGGGCTATGCGTGCCTCCTACCTCCCCTTTAGCACACCCCAAGCCTCGCAGTTATTCTGGATGTTCTCATGTCTCCGATATACGCGCCCTCGCCGGGGCCTCTCCGATATACGTGCCCTAACCTCTCGTGCTTGTACCCACGCGCTCACCCCTAGCACACCTAATGTACTCGCCCCTCGCCTGGGGCCCTGTTGCTCGCTCCACAAGCCCTGTCTCGCCCCTTCCGGGGTTCAGTTAGTGTAATCACCCTCTTCAGGCTCCCGACCGCATGCTCTGGCCCTGCCTCGGGCCTCCACCCACGCGCTCGCCCTACTCTGGGCTTTTAGTCACGCTTCTCAAGCCCTTGCCCTTCTCTGGGGCTTGTCCTGCGCTTCTCGCCCTTCTCTGGGGCTGGTCCCACACTTCTCACACCCTCGCTGTACAAGCCCGGTCTCGCCCCTTCCGGGGTTCGGCTAGTATAATCGCCCTCTTCAGGCTCTCACCCGCATGCTCTGGCCCTGCCTCAGACCTCTAACTGCATGCTTGCCCTACTACGGCCTCTTACACTCACCCACACTCGGGCCTATACACACGCTCTCCGCGCTACCGCCCTCTTTGGGTTCTGTCCCACACTCAACCGCGCTTGGGGCTCAGGTGGCCCGTAGCCGTGCCTGGCCCCCGACCCTTCTCGGGGTCTTTCGCCTGATTAGGCAGAATACCGCCTTCGGGCTGGGGTCTCAACCCCACACACCACACCACACCAGTGCCAAACAGCCATGCCTCCCAGGCACTGCTCTATGCCCACCAAACAGGGCACCCAGGAACCCCCAGACTACTGGGGAGCTCCCATGAGGACACTGCATCCTACCGGCACCAACCAGCCATGCCTCCCCGGCACTGCTCTGTGCCCGAACAGGGCACCCAGGAAACCTCCCAGACTACTGGGGATCTCCTGTGAGGGCTCCTCACACCCCTACAGCCTCACCCAGACCTCCAGTTATATACACAATGAACTAAACAGAACCATAAGCCAACCGGCTGTAACAGAACAATAAGCCTACCAGTTATAACAAAGTCCAGGCCCCACCTGGCCTTCCAGTAAGACCTCCTAGTCAGGGTTCTCTCCCCCCTTGCCATGATGCAGCTACTCGTTCTATCAGTCTGCTCGATGCCGCTCGGCTCCACTGCAGAGCTCTCACTCCTCTGGCTGCCAGCAGGGAACTACCAGCCAGGCTCTGGCCTGGGCTGTTTATAAGGGCCCGGCCCTGCCCCCTTCCAGTTACCTGACCAACATGGTTGCTCCAGCAACCAGCACCTGAGCTGCCCTGGCAATTAGCAGGGGCCCCAATCCCTACTTAGGCACGGGGCACCCGAGTGCCCCCGTGACAGAAATGAATGCCAGAAGACGTCACCAAGCAGAAAGCTCGGGAAGAGGGCGATAACGGAAAAAACCCCAGAGGACCGGGCTCAAGCAGCAAGAAGAACTTGAGTGGAGCTGATTAAGCTGGGAATTGCCAGTGAAGAAATTCTTGAAAGGTAATCCTTGAAATGATAGAGGAAGGGAGCGGGGTGAACTTGGTCTGGAGCCAATCGGGTTCTATATTAGATGAGAGATAAAAGAGACTGGGAGACAACAAGACTGAGACACTGTGAGTTCTTGGGAAGGGAGATCCCACATAGAGATGGGGGGAAAATAAATAAATAAATAAAACACTGTGTGTTATAAATGAGACTGAATAAGAGTGCTATGTAGGCACTGTAGCTGTTAAATTAAGATTATATCCAAGTTAGATTCTGTTTAAGTTGATATTAAGACCTACTTGATGTGGAAAAGTGATGAAAGTCTTTCAAACAGCAAGTTGATTATGGATGTAAAATTAAGTTTTCATAAATAAAGAAAATTGTTAACCTAAACAAAGTAAGACTGATTTCAATTGATGATCAGCATTGGGTGTCCCATTCAAGAGTTACAATAAAAGGGATAACCCGAGAGGATCCCCACATGCATTGCCAGAGTTTTACTGTGGTAGAAAACAAATAACACCCCTGACTAATAACATCATGGATTAATCAAGAAGTGGCAGGAAAGAGTCGGAATATACCGCAAATAGTCCAGACAGAGCAATCTGAGAAAAGAGGGGCTAGAATAATTCATTAGGCTATAAGCAGTACCCTCACAGTCACAATAGATTATTACTCCAATTTTGGAGAGGTGGACTATCTAGAGCAGTGGTCTCCAAAGTGGGGTGCACACACCCCAGGGGATGCGCAAGACGATCCATTGGGGTGCAGGAAGAAAATATTAGAACTTCTATTTCTATTTCTATAAATATACATATCTTGGGGGTGCATGCTCAAAATTTTTTACTGATAGGGGTGCGCGATCAAAAAAGTTTGGAGACCACTGATCTAGAGGACACTCAAACAAGAACAATAAATCAGGAAGCTGAAGGTACATTTTGCCAGGTATATCTTGTGTTCAGACAATGAGCCACAATATGCAGCCGAAGAATTTAAAAGATTTTTTAGTACAAAATGGGAATTTGAGCACAAGACCTTTTCCCCAGGGTACCCACAAAGCAATGAAAAGGCAGAATCAGCTCTCAAGGCTGCTTGAAAGACTCACAGAAAGGGCAGAAAGAACATGATATGGTCCTTATCTGGCTTTGTTGGACCACTACAGTACCACCTCTCAGGAACTTGATAGTAGCCCAACCCAGACACTGATAGGGTGAAGAACAAAGCTGCTACTTCCCATGAGGGGCATCCTGCTGTGGCTGGATGGAGAGAAAGCAGACAACACACAGAGGCTGCTAAGAGAACAAAGAGATAGATAAGCAGCATATTACAATAGAAGTAGAAACTTGAGGCCTCTGCATTTGTGGTCAATTGCTGGGTGGGCCTGGGTTCAACCCTCCAGCAACCACATAAAACAATGGCAAATGGCCACTGTCCAACCTGTTGTTAGGCCAAGGTTCTATGAACTAGTCACTAGGCCTGAGCAAAGCAGCAAGTATTCACTTCAGATTCAGATTCAGCCAATGTGGAGGGACAGTGATTCGAATCACTGTCCTGATTCAATTCGACCGATTTGGATTTGGAGATTCAACACTGATTCAGAGCTAGACTATAATGGGATATCACTAAAATACCTATAACTTTGTCATTTTTTTGCAGTTTTGGGTAAAAACAGCAGGGATAGTAGCCCCTTCTGAGAGCATGAATCCTGCCAGGTTTCAAGGAGGTGCAGGGGTTTCTATGAAAATGCAGGTGCAGGGGTTTCTATGAAAGTGCACCTCAAACTGTTGAAAGCAAACTCGTACCACTTGTGTGTGTTACGGCAGAGTTGGATGAAAATAACAGGGATGGTAGCCACAGATCAGAGTCACTGGCTAGCTACAGATGTCAATATCAGAGCAGTTCCATCCCCCCCCCCTTTTCCATATGTGGAAGATCACCCCATCACCCTCCCTCTTCTCAGTTTCTGTTTGCTGCAAGCCTTCCAAATCAATCTGGAAGATTCTGATTCAATTTGGACCATGACACTGGCTGCCCTTAGGGACTGCAGTAGAACAGAAGGGAGGAGGCAGTCCCTTGAGTACATAGGACCCAGAACATTTAGGGCTTTGTACGTAAAGGCCAGAACTTTGCATTGTGCCCAGAAAGTCATGCCACATCAACCACAGGTGAAATTGTGGCCCTCATTGAGTCAATGAAAATTTTGTTATTGACCTTAGCAGAACAAGGCTTTTGCCCTAGACTTAACTGTCAGAAGGATAGTGCACAAGTGCATCTCTACAAAATCCTTCTTATTGAGTCATATCCCAAAGCAGAACTCCTTACCTGGGAAGTGGGGAGAATGAGATGACATCCCAAATGTCCGACTCCATGTCTAACCTTTGCACTCCATCATACACATCTCCATTCTCATCCAGGCCACAGACGACATAAATCCGGGTCCCTACATTGACTGCATCTGCTCTCTCCACAGGCTGAACCATGGGGCTTGTGCTTTCCCACTGGGAATCACTAAGAGCCAGGCGCTCCACATGTGAAATTATCCCTTCATCTGTGCTCCCTCCAAGCACATACAGGTAGAGGCCAGCCCCTGCTGAACAATGGCTGTTGCGAGACTTCTTCATTTCAGGCCCTTCCAGCCAGCTGTTATCCCAGCAATTATAAATCATCACCCAGTCCACGCTGTACCACACAAACCCATCTCGGAAGTAACCTCCTGTCACAAAAATGAGGTTCCCTGGGGATACAATGAAAAGAAGCATCAAATAGGAGCATCTCTCAGCCATCACTGTACATATACTGCTGCAGTTTCTCTTCAAACAATTTACTTTATGCCAGTGGTCACCAACTGATTGACCCCGATCAACTAGTCAATCGTGGAGCCTCTGACAGTCAATCTCAGTCTAGGGGGGCTGAGCCTGCATGCATTCAGCTTCCCCAGACTGAGATCAACTGTCAGACACTCCACAATTGGAAGCAGCAGGACACGTGCAGAGTGGCCGGGGTGGGATGCATGTGTCTTGGCTGAGCCACACCTCTTGCCACCGGGGCAAGGCTGGGTGGGTGGGGCGATCCCCCTCCATCCCCTGCCGCCCTGCCGTGACAGAGAGAATGGGGCAGGGGCAGAGGTGCATGGGGCCCCAGCCAGATCGGGAGAGGGTCAAAGCCTGGGTGGCTCATCCAGAAGCATGAGGGGGGTCCCATACTGCACGCACCCTGGCAGAGCGGGGCCTGTGTGCCCTCCGGATTTGTGTGCAGGGCAGAAGCAGCTGCCACTGCACATTGGGATTTGCACCTTGAGCCCCATGCACAAATCAGGGGGGCACATGCCACCCAAGGGTCCCCCCCCCCCGAGGTGTGTGTAGTGGCGGGAGCGCCCCATGCACCTGGACAAGCCACCCAGCCTCTGACCCACCCCTGGCCTGGCCAGGGCCCCATTCACCCAGTGGCAGGAGGCGCGAAGACATAGGCGGCGGAAGTGGGGGCTAACAGCGCTTAGCCCCCACACACGCAGGGCAGCAGTAGAGCCGCCAGGCAGCCTAGCCGCAGGCTTCCAGCAGATGCAGCAAGCATGGGGAGGGGCACATGTGCAGCAGTGAAAAATGAAGTGGAGCAGGGGCAGGCCCTGCACAGCCAGGGCGGGCATGGGATGGAACCCATCCCAGAGGTGCTCATCCCAGAGGTACAGAGGTGGGGCATGCAGCCCGGGAGGGCATGGGGGGGCGTGTGCCCCTGGAACTGCACACATGGTGGGGCAGAGTGGGGTGGGGTGGGGTGAGGTGGGGCGGGACAGGTTGGGGGCAGGGCAGTGCCAGGCACA